GGGGGGTCGAAACAATGGACGGGTATTGTAGTTGTTCACACACACAGTCCGTTTTGCATCTTCATCATTTATTTCGTCGTGTGCGCGCTTCTTCTTACTTTTAGTGTTTGCTCATCACCAGCTTTACATTTGAGGGAAAAGAAGAAGATGGGGGTACCTTTGGGGCTGTATACACAAATATTTATGGAATGAAGAAGAAAAAGAAGATGAGATTGAAGTTCGTTTCGAAATTCTAGAATTTTGGGGGGGGGGGGGGGGGCAGCCATGAATAGCCACGCTTAAAGTTTGATTTGTACTGGAAGCGCTTTATCTTGAGAACCATGAGAGCTATCAAAATGTGTTCAGCTAAAAAGTTGTAGGATTTTGAATTACGAACAAAAAATCAGTTAACAAGTTTTCAGTATCTGAGGATAGAGCCGAGATTCTGGCGTTTAAAGTCAAAGCCTCTAGACGAGTAGGTCAAAACTCTTAGATTCCTATTCGAACCAAAAAACGGTATTCTGTTTTATTGTAGGGCACATTCGAAATTCTGAAACTTGCTATCATAAAATCTATGCACCTCTTGTCATTATGGTCTGTGTGCTCCCCCAAATGCCTATCAGCACAAAATTCGACTGAAATGTTCATATAATATTTCGTAATGATGTAGGGAAATTGAGAATCGGGACAGAAAAGCTCCCTAAAAATCTAAAAACGTCTGGCCTACTCAAAAAGTCAATCCTAAAGAACCCCAAGACGAAAAATTTCATGCCCCATAAAACGTGCTAACGGAACGGTGTTGGTGAAGGTTACACACACACAAAAAATGAAAAGTGTAAACGAAATTCAATAACTGTTTGTATTATAAAAAGAGGAGAAGAACGGAATAAATGGAGGAGGTAAGAGATGGAGAAAGGGCAAGCAATAAACGGTTTATGTCAATAAATAACAAATGTTTGGGGTGAATGTGTACATTGTTTGGAGGGTATTCCCCTGAAAAATTAAAATAATTTGTCACACTTCCCCTCTGCTTACAGCAAATGAAAGACCGAAAAAGTGATTATAACTGAACACAAGGGAGAAGACACACAAATAGTTTTTTGATGAATTGTGTAAAACAGACAAAGAAAAAAAAGGTGATAACGAGGGGTCTTACCACACACCGTCAAGGTGGCGATGTATAAATGAAACTACCCGCTGCTGCCGACATGTAATAGAGAAGAAGTGATTAATGACCGAAGATGGGAACTTTCTTTCTCTTTTTTTTGCTGTCTCTGCATTTTTTATTGACTAGTCATGAGGAGAGGTGACGGTGACCTATATAGGAGACGGGAATTCCAAATTAGCTCATTCATAATCTCAGCAAGTAGTGTTTTCGCGCAAAAGGGGAGGCTACTTTTTGCTGAGAAATGTTCCAAGGCCATTAATTAATTTCGAGAAAGAGAAGGAAGCGGGTCGAGGATGAATGAACTTATGAAGGCTGAGATTTTAGAAAATGGGGTAGGGGAGAGGGGAAATGACAGAAACTCTGGCGCCTAAAATTCTGCCAACCAACACATAGGTCTGCCAGACTACCCATAGGTCCCAGGGAAGTATTTTTTGTGTTCCGGCCGTCTCTAAAGTCACAAAACCTAGTATATCTCCTCCAAAATAAGTGTTTATGCATTCCGTCCCAGTCGGAAGGCGAAGGTACTTGAGAACCCCCCTTACCGGTCACTCCCTTACAAGGGAGGTCCTTTTACAGACCGGTTGAGAATTTTCTGAAAAATTGTGGGTCAACACTATCAAGCACGCTGAAAACGAATCTGAAATCCATTTTTCCAAAACTCGTCTGGTTTTGCCACAGTGGGTCCCGAGGACCATTCTCAGTACTAATTGCACAAAAGAA